TTCTATTGCACGTGAACGACTTGGGACCCTTGGGGGCTAACACCGGTAACATGCAACTCTGCCTTGCTGCTGGTCCCTGTAATCCAACCCGTTTCAGATTGATCAAGGCTTGGCGCGCTTCAAGGAGACCGACATGAACCTGCCGAACTCCCACAAGAAAAACACTAGATGGATGAGGAGTTTGACTCGGGGGGTGCGGAGGATTGTAAGGGATCACTTTACACGCCACACCCCCGTGTACAACGCAGAGTTGCAGGGCTTCAAGTGGGGCACGCGTGGGCTCTATGTACATGAGTCCGGGTTTCAGGCGTTCCGGGGGACGGCTCAGGCTGATAACGAGGAGGAGGAGGAGAGGAGGAGGAGGAGGAGGAGCAAGAGGATTTCAATGAGAAGGAGGAGGAGGAGGAGGAGCAAGAGGAGAGGAGCAAGAGGAGGAAGAGGAGGAAAGAGGAGGAGAGGGATGAGGATGAGGAGGATGAGGAGGAGGATGAAGAGGAGGAAGAGGAAGAGGAGGATGATGAGCAGGGGGGAAGAAGGAGTTGAGAGGGAGCAGAAGGCACAAGAGAGGCAAAAACATGGGTGGCAGGAGGGGAAAGTGATGTGCAGGCAGACAAGGGGCAAGCAGGACGGGTGGCAGTGGAGGAAGTTGGAGAGGCATCGGGTGAGGCAGGAGGGTATCGGTTAACGGGGAGAGCAGGGGCGTTTAACGGGTATGGATAAAGGAAAGGCATCAGGATAGGCAACAAGGGTAAGAAGCCGAGAGTCAACAAGGAAAGGCAGCAGGGGAGGCAACATAGAAAGGCACCACGGGAGGCAACAGGGAGAGGGAGCAGGGAAGGCAACATAGAATGGCAGCAGGGGAGGCAACAAAGGGAGGCAGCAGGGGAGGCAACATTAAATAGCAGCAGGGTAGGCAACAGAGAGAGGAGTAGGGGAGGCAGGCAGCATGGGAGGCAACATAGAATGGCAGCAGGGGAGGCAACAAAGGGGCAGGGGAGGCAACAAAGGGAGGCGGTAGGGGAGGCAACATTGAACAGCAGCAGGGTAGGCAACAGAGAGAGGCAGCATGGGAGGCAACTAGAATGGCAGCAGGGGAGACAACAAAGGGAGGCAGCTTGGGAGGCAACATTGAATGGCAGCAGGGGGGAGAGGCAACATCCCGTGGCAGTAGGGGAGGAGTGCATATTTAATATGCGACCGTTTTGCAGGTTGCCTGGGTGGCGGAGGAGCAGTGGAGGCAGCATGTGAGGCAGTAGTGGAGGAGCAGTGGAGGCAGCATGAGTAGCATCAGGGGGGGGAGGCCGGGAGGTAAGAGGGGAGTTCCAGGAGAGGCCCAATGTGGAGCAGCAGGAGCAGGCATGAGAGGAGACCGCATAGGGGGCAGCAGCGTGGAGACAGCAAGGGGACAGGAGTATAAGCAAGAGAGGAGACAGGAAGTGTGTAGCCGTGCAGGTTAGCATTAGATGGAGCAGTATCTGTAGTCAAGAACTCTCTAGGCCAAGAGCTGGAGAGATGGGGCGGGGCTGCATCCGATGATGGCTTGCGAAGTAGGTAGGAGGATGGTGCAGATTAATCCACCCTAGCAGGACTACGCAACGCGTGTTTAGGCAGCTGTTTTGTGTGCCAAGCCAACTCTGTAATGAGATTAATAATCATTGAGCAATGCATTCATGATGTGCGTGTACACCTAAGAATGGCTAATAGACCTTCCATCAAACAACGAGAATCACTTGATAAAGGTTCATATACAATCTTCTTGAACTTTGGTCCTAAGCTCTGCTAAAGAGTATATGAGTGGAAAGTAATCTCCCTGAACTCTCCGAACGAAGTCTTATACATCTCCGAAGAAACTCAGACAGACCCTAATCTGAAGGTAATACAAACATGTCATCACCTGCAAAGCATTCGACAAAGCATTCGAAAAAATGTTTATACTTTCACCGAAAAGCGTTTTGGCCCCTACGTTTTAAAAAGCATTTGAAAATACTTCACCACAACTTTTTACAATAGGTTTCTGGTCATATGATTTTTGTGACGAGGCTATCAGCAGCGAGTCCAGCACCCACACACCCCGTGCCCTGCTCTGCTGCACCACTCACCTGCTCTGCTGCACCACTCACCTGCTCTGCTGCACCACTCACCTGCTCTGCTGCACCACTCACCTGCTCTGCTGCACCACTCACCTGCTCTGCTGCACCACTCACCTGCTCTGCTGCACCACTCACCTGCTCTGCTGCACCACTCACTGCTCTGCTGCACCACTCACCTGCTCTGCCGCACCACTCACCTGCTCTGCTGCACCACTCACCTGCTCTGCTGCACCACTCACCTGCTCTGCTGCACCACTCACCTGCTCTGCTGCACCACTCACCTGCTCTGCTGCACCACTCACATGCTCTGCTGCACCACTCACCTGCTCTGCTGCACCACTCACCTGCTCTGCTGCACCACTCACCTGCTCTGCTGCACCACTCACCTGCTCTGCTGCACCACTCACCTGCTCTGCTGCACCACTCACCTGCTCTGCTGCACCACTCACCTGCCCTGCTGCACCACTCACCTGCTCTGGCTGCACCCACCTGCTCTACAGCAGGGCTGCTGGCGTCGCTACCCACCACCAGCAACTGGCCATCCACCTTCCATGCTCGTGATCACCACCTGATGGAGTGGTTGAAAACGTTGAAAGGGGTTGGTTGATAGCAGTTGAAAGTGGTTGAAGGGGTTTTGAGCAGGTTTAAGAGGGGTGTAATGCGGCAAGGACCACTCCACCCCAGCAAACCCGGCCATCCATCCACCTCCCATGCTCGTGATCACCACATTACGGGAGTGTTTTGGGGTGTTTACAATATTTTGAGGGGGGTTTGAAAGCAGTTGACAGGGGTTGAGCGGGCTTAAGAGAGGCGGCGATGGCTTCATGGGACATCTCCCTCCCACCACCACCACCTCCATGCTCGTGAGCTCCACCTGATGGGAGTGTCGTGGGTTACGTGACAGCGGTTGAGTGGAGTTGAAAGAGGTGTCTCTTCACCCTCCCTTCCTCCTCAAAGCAAAGCAAAGTACACTCCCTCCACTCCTCGTGCCTCACCTGATGAATTACGAGGAGCTGTTGCTTGCTGGTAAATCAATTCAGCAGGGAAACTCGAGGATTATCCTTCCCCTCTCGCAGCAGCGCCAGAGCGCCAGCAAGCAAGCAAACCCATGACGTCAGCCCGCCCACCATGCCGTCCTCAGGCAGGTGTGCCCTTCTCTCTCCCCCTCCCGTCCCCCACTCCCCCTGCTCCTTCCCCCCCCATCCCACCCCCACCCCCCATGAGGTTAGATGACCTGAAACCCCACGCAATGTGATACCTTTATGGGCCCTAGAGCATGCACTTCACCATCATACTTACATTCAAAACACTTGAGACAATTTTGAGTTTCCCGAAAGTTCTTGCCCCACAGTTCTTCGTCCCCTCTAGGCCCTAGCCGTGCAGAATACGTTTCTGGGACCCGCAGCATCAAGCAGCAGGCTAATCCACCGCCCACACGTTTGTTCGAAACAGTATTGAGATTCCAGAAAGTCCCCCTCACCTACCTACCCACTGTTCTTCCTCCCTGTAGCCTCGCATACCTTCCTGGGCCCTGCAGCGCGCAGCATGTCACATGCACTGATTGGCAGTCTGCTTGAGTCCGGATGCTGCGAGGGAAATGCTGGAGAAATGACTTGGGAGAAATGATGGAGAGATGACTTGGAGTCATAAACGGCAGCACTTGACACTCGTGGTGCTGGGAGTAGGGTAGATCAAGTACCTCGGAAGCTGAGAATGATAGGCTTTAAGACAAACACGCTAGAGCTTTGAAGATATTTACATGAGGCCTGTGAGAAATTCCCCGAGCCTGTGGTGGCTGCTCCTGCTGGCCGTCTAGCATATCTACCTCCCCCAGGTCCGCCTCCCCGGATGGCGCACGGCGCGGATGCGTACGGATAAGCGGCGGAGAGAAGTCGGGGGAGGGGAGTGCGGAGGAGGGCGGCGGAAGGCGTTGGGCGCGCCGGGGGACGCCGCCTGCTGCTTCGCCGCGGACTCGCGCATGCTGCGAAGGCGAGAGCGGCGCGCCTCTGCGTCCTCCATGGCTACTCGGCGGGAGACAAGTACGGTACGCGTCACGCGCTGTGGACGGAGAGCTCGCGCAGCGCGGGGAGGGACTAGGGACAGAAGGAACGCGGCGATTAGAGCGGAAAGCTGCGGGAAACTATCTAAGGGCGATACCGCCTGGTCCGTTTTTACGCGATGTGGGCTGAGAGCGCGCGCAGCGGCTCTGCGTCCTCCATGATGCTTCATAGCAGCGGCGACGCGCCAACGGATGCTGCTAGCGACTCGCGACCGAACACGCGACTGAACGCGCCTGCAGAATTGTCGCTGATTATCGTCGTTTATTCGTCTGTCAGCCAAGAAAAACATTGGTACACGCCTGCCGGCGGTTTATGTTGACTAATGCGTCACGACATAAGTTTAAAGGCTCACAGCGTTCAGGTATCGCGACTTGTGCCGCTTCGATTTCCCCCCGACCTCCACTACCGCTCCGATTGCCCTCCGCCTCGCGCTTTCCGCGACCCATGTGCGATTGTATGGCCAGTGGCTACCGATCAAACGAGGTAAACGCTCAATGTCTGATTTTCACAAACAAACGATATAATTTACCCTAAACGAATGTCTTCGCAGGACCAGTAGCACAAAACCTCCTAATCATAGAAGATTAGCGGGGTTCAATGCCCGCCTGGTCCTTTTGTTTTATCCACCTCAAGGCTCCGTTTCCATTCAAATCTTATCTAAAGGTGTTTTCTTACTGCTCTGGTGCACTCTTCTTGTCATATCATACTCGTCGTCGCATCCCTTCTTGTTGTAAGCCTCAGCCATCTTGACTGGTTTTTTACCGGACGTGCTTGTCGTCTACACCTTCGTTGTGTTGCTTCGTTGGTGTAGGAGATTTTTCTTTACTGGCACACCTCGACCACCACACTGGCACGCCCCATGCCCTGTCACCTCACCCATGTGCTCTACAGCAGGGCTACTGGCGTCACGCCCCACCACCAGCACCAGGCTATCAGCAGCGAGTCCAGCACCACACACCCCGTGCCCTGCTCTGCTGCACCACTCAACTGCTCTGCCGCACCACTCACCTGCTCTGCCGCACCACTCACCTGCTCTGCCGCACCACTCACCTGCTCTGCCGCACCACTCACCTGCTCTGCCGCACCACTCACCTGCTCTGCCGCACCACTCACCTGCTCTGCCGCACCACTCACCTGCTCTGCCGCACCACTCACCTGCTCTGCCGCACCACTCACCTGCTCTGCCGCACCACTCACCTGCTCTGCCGCAGCACTCACCTGCTCTGCCGCACCACGCACCTGCTCTGCCGCACCACTCACCTGCTCTGCCGCACCACTCACCTGCTCTGCCGCACCACTCACCTGCTCTGCCGCACCACTCACCTGCTCTGCCGCACCACTCACCTGCTCTGCCGCACCACTCACCTGCTCTGCCCGCACCACTCACCTGCTCTGCCGCACCACTCACCTGCTCTGCCGCACCACTCACCTGCTCTGCCGCACCACTCACCTGCTCTGCCGCACCACTCACCTGCTCTGCCGCACCACTCACCTGCTCTGCCGCACCACTCACCTGCTCTGCGCACCACTCACCTGCTCTGCCGCACCACTCACCTGCTCTGCCGCACCACTCACCTGCTCTGCCGCACCACTCACTTGCTCTGCCGCACCACTTACCTGCTCTGCTGCACCACTCACCTGCTCTGCCGCACCACTCACCTGCTCTGCCGCACCACTCACCTGCTCTGCCGCACCACTCACCTGCTCTGCCGCACCACTCACCTGCTCTGCCGCACCACTCACCTGCTCTGCCGCACCACTCACCTGCTCTGCCGCACCACTCACCTGCTCTGCCGCACCACTCACCTGCTCTGCCGCACCACTCACCTGCTCTGCCGCACCACTCACCTGCTCTGCCGCACCACTCACCTGCTCTGCCGCACCACTCACCTGCTCTGCTGCACCACTCACCTGCTCTGCCGCACCACTCACCTGCTCTGCTGCGCACCACTCACCTGCTCTGCTGCACCACTCACCTGCTCTGCCGCACCACTCACCTGCTCTGCTGCACCACTCACCTGCTCTGCTGCACCACTCACCTGCTCTGCCGCACCACTCACCTGCTCTGCCGCACCACTCACCTGCTCTGCTGCACCACTCACCTGCTCTGCCGCACCACTCACCTGCTCTGCCGCACCACTCACCTGCTCTGCTGCACCACTCACCTGCTCTGCTGCACCACTCACTGCTCTGCCGCACCACTCACCTGCTCTGCTGCACCACTCACCTGCTCTGCTGCACCACTCACCTGCTCTGCTGCACCACTCACCTGCTCTGCTGCACCACTCACCTGCTCTGCCGCACCACTCACCTGCTCTGCCGCACCACTCACCTGCTCTGCTGCACCACTCACCTGCTCTGCCGCACCACTCACCTGCTCTGCCGCACCACTCACCTGCTCTGCTGCACCACTCACCTGCTCTGCCGCACCACTCACCTGCTCTGCCGCACCACTCACCTGCTCTGCCGCACGACTCACCTGCTCTGCCGCACCACTCACCTGCTCTGCTGCACCACTCACCTGCTCTGCCGCACCACTCACCTGCTCTGCTGCACCACTCACCTGCTCTGCTGCACCACTCACCTGCTCTGCCGCACCACTCACCTGCTCTGCTGCACCACTCACCTGCTCTGCCGCACCACTCACCTGCTCTGCCGCTCCACTCACCTGCTCTGCTGCACCACTCACCTGCTCTGCCGCACCACTCACCTGCTCTGCTGCACCACTCACCTGCTCTGCCGCACCACTCACCTGCTCTGCTGCACCACTCACCTGCTCTGCTGCACCACTCACCTGCTCTGCTGCACCACTCACCTGCTCTGCTGCACCACTCACCTGCTCTGCCGCACCACTCACCTGCTCTGCCGCACCACTCACCTGCTCTGCTGCACCACTCACCTGCTCTGCCGCACCACTCACCTGCTCTGCTGCACCACTCACTTGCTCTGCTGCACCACTCACCTGCTCTGCTGCACCACTCACCTGCTCTGCCGCACCACTCACCTGCTCTGCCGCACCACTCACCTGCTCTGCTGCACCACTCACCTGCTCTGCCGCACCACTCACCTGCTCTGCTGCACCACTCACCTGCTCTGCTGCACCACTCACCTGCTCTGCTGCACCACTCACCTGCTCTGCCGCACCACTCACCTGCTCTGCCGCCACCACTCACCTGCTCTGCTGCACCACTCACCTGCTCTGCCGCACCACTCACCTGCTCTGCCGCACCACTCACCTGCTCTGCTGCACCACTCACCTGCTCTGCTGCACCACTCACCTGCTCTGCCGCACCACTCACCTGCTCTGCTGCACCACTCACCTGCTCTGCTGCACCACTCACCTGCTCTGCTGCACCACTCACCTGCTCTGCTGCACCACTCACCTGCTCTGCCGCACCACTCACCTGCTCTGCTGCACCACTCACCTGCTCTGCCGCGCACCACTCACCTGCTCTGCCGCACCACTCACCTGCTCTGCCGCACCACTCACCTGCTCTGCCGCACCACTCACCTGCTCTGCTGCACCACTCACCTGCTCTGCCGCACCACTCACCTGCTCTGCTGCACCACTCACCTGCTCTGCTGCACCACTCACCTGCTCTGCCGCACCACTCACCTTCTCTGCTGCACCACTCACCTGCTCTGCCGCACCACTCACCTGCTCTGCCGCACCACTCACCTGCTCTGCTGCACCACTCACCTGCTCTGCCGCACCACTCACCTGCTCTGCTGCACCACTCACTGCTCTGCCGCACTACTCACCTGCTCTGCTGCACCACTCACCTGCTCTGCTGCACCACTCACCTGCTCTGCTGCACCACTCACCTGCTCTGCTGCACCACTCACCTGCTCTGCCGCACCACTCACCTGCTCTGCTGCACCACTCACCTGCTCTGCTGCACCACTCACCTGTTCTGCTGCACCACTCACCTGCTCTTCTGCACCACTCACCTGCTCTGATGCACCACTCACCTGCTCTGCTGCACCACTCACCTGCTCTGCTGCACCACTCACCTGCTCTGCTGCACCACTCACCTGCTCTGCTGCCGCACCACTCACCTGCTCTGCTGCACCACTCACCTGCTCTGCCGCACCAGTCACCTGCTCTGCTGCACCACTCACCTGCTCTGCCGCACACTCACCTGCTCTGCTGCACCACTCACCTGCTCTCGGGCATCTCTGCACCCCCTAAACCTCCTTAACAACTGAGGCTCAACACCCTTTCTCTTCCTTGCACCTCCATCACTCCCTCTATGTCGCTCGCTGCCCTTCGTGTCTTTCTCTTTTTATCCCAGCCCAATGGTGGAAGTGAAGCTTGTCCCGGTCAGCATCAACCAATCAATCTGTTGGCGTAACCACGGTGCTGAATGGCGAAAATCGGTCACACTTGACGATCAGTCGAGCAAGAGCGATTGTCCCCGGCGAGACGATATCAACGGCTCTCTTTGCGCGGGCAAAGAAATGGTCGCTCGTACGAGTGCGTACGCGTTGGTGCATGTACGGTTATGTACATATGCGTCGCGTACGAGTGTGTACGGTAGGTTGACGCACTACGTGCATGAAGGCATACGTAAGCATGCATACGTATGTCTACGCGCGTCTAGGTTAAATAGGTACGGTACCAGACATGCGAGTATTCATGCATATACGCATGCAGATGCGCACGTTCCTTAATATTCAGCTCATTATCCCAGAGCTAATTTGTCATTGATTTGTTGACCTACATGCATAAGCTCCAGATACACAAACATATTTGTCAACTTACATGTGTAGCTTGTAAATCAGCAAAATCTGTTCTGTTTACTGCCATGTGGAAAGCTGTAGTTTTGCAAGATACTGTTTTGCTGTTCTCGTTTTTGGGCACAGCTGACGAGCGAAACCTATTCGCGCTGCGAATTTGTCACTGTAAATGCTGGCACATTCAACTTTGGGTCGCGCTCGCGTATCGGCGTGTCGGACTGCATATACGCAGGGCACCCAAACCGACTTCCGACTTTGTCACTGCGCTGCCGACGTAGCACTGTGCAGAACGCTACTTCAGTACATCCACTTTGCACCACGAACCCACGTTCGTTCAGGGGGACCAAGCAAGCCAGAAAGTGCACGAAACGTGATGTGAGTGGGCTGGCTCACAATCGCTCACCTAACTCCCACTCCCGTTTTTTCAGA